AGCGTACTGGAAACACAGAGAGGTTAGATGCAGTCTACCCAAGGTCACACAGACATTGAGGGTGGGCTAGGATTTAGATCCTGGCAGCCAGATGCCAAAGTCCCGCTTGGAGTTTTCAATGAGGGTTGGTGTCTGTCAGTCTGTTTTCCTCACTGTGTTGAGTGTCTCTGGGGACAGCGTGCTTTCTGATAACTCAATTGGAAGCAGAGCTATAAAAGGTGTGATTATTAATTTTAATTGTCAGCTTGAGATCTGGAATTGCCTACAAAATAGGCCTCTGGGCACGCTGGTAGGGGATGATCTTGATTAGATTGAGAAGGGAAGACAACCTCCACCAACCCCTTGGGTGGCACCATCCCAAGCTGAGGTCCTGGGCCCAGGCATTCATTTCTCTCTGCTTCCGACTATGGATACAAAGTAACATCTGCCTCATGCTCCTGCTGCTGTCCCTACCCAAGGCTGTGAACTCTATGTAACCTTGAGCTGTGAACCATCAACTGCTTCTCTCTAGTTTTGTTACAGTAATTTTTAAACAGCAACATAGAAGCAACTGATAGAAAGTTCTTGGTAAATGCTTGCTTAATGACTGAGAGACTTGAACAGAAGTAACAGTGCCATTTGAAGATCTTGCAGAGTAAGAGAAAGCTTCAGAGGAGATGGGGTTCCCACAGGGGAGAGATGGTCAGGAGGCAGCAGGTCCTAAATGAAGGGTTCCAGGGGGATGCTACTAGGATGAGAACAGGGAAGATATTTCCCAAGAGGACAGGAGCTCAGAAGAGATCCCTGGACTCTGATTCCTGCAATGTGTATCTATCTTACGCCATCTGGGGCTGAAGTTTCTAAAAGGAAAGTGGGAAATAGGTGGCAGAAATCTTGCAGCAGGGTTTCATAGTCTCCATGGCATATTTAGAATCCCCAGGGAAGCTGGTTAAAAACAAAACAAAACAAAACAAACAAACAAACAGACTCTGACATTCCCTGAAGATCTGAGGCCAGGCAAAGAAACCTGCATTTTTACAACTTGGAAGAGGGCCTGACAAAGCCATGAAGGCAGAGGAATGTGGCCACAGAGACTATGGTGTGGTCCCCATTTATACAAAAGGATTGTAACCCACAGGGTTATGGCTTCATGCCATATTTACACACATCAATCCTCTTTGCGGTTAGGAGCAGCAAAGGTGGAATGACACCATGTAGGATGGAGAGTCCACTTATATGGCCCTGCCATGTTTCATTCTCTTTCCCTCCCCTCCTTGCAACCAGCTGAGGTGATGGCCTTAACCAATAGCTTCCTGTTTGCTCAAAGGATAAGGTCCAAATGCATGACCTTAGCGTCCAAGGTCTCTTGCCACCTAGCTCCTACCCAGTCTCTGATCCCTCCACACATGCACCAGTCAAGGACAGTCATTTTCTACAAGTACTGTCACCAGGCACTGCTAAAGGGACCTGGGAAAGAGGCGAGGGGAGCGAGGTCCCTACCTTGGATCACTCACATGGCAGAGAAAGTGAGGCCAAGAGAACAAGGAATATGCGTAACTGGGTTGTTACAAGGATTTGAAAGGAGTATTCTATCAGGACTGTGTCCTGGGTGTGACTTTTAGGATATCAACTGAGATCCCAAGGAGAAGACGCTAGCAGTAGGTGGCTATGGAGAAGCCACAGCAAGAGCAGAAGTCCTGGGATGAGCTTCTTTCCAGAGACTAGGTAGCAAGAGAAAGTGAAAGGAATAGAACAGAGAAGGGTAGAAGCTGGCTGGGCCAGGTCTTCTGGGTTGGGTAGACATGGTATGGTATTTAGATTTTTTTCCCCAAAGAAGAGAGGAAGTAATGGAAGACATGGTTCTGGCTGCTTCTGAAGTATAGGACAGAGTTGGGCTTTTAAGGCCAGCCACTCTTGGTGCAAGGCTCAGCTCAGGTCAGTTGGTCCTACAGTGGGGTGCTCTAGAGAGTGTCTAGAAATGAGAGACTACCTTCTACAATTCCCGCAGGCTGGCTAGGCTGTGACCCCTATGGGAGCTCAGCCTGGGGAGGTTAGGGAAAGGGAGGGAAAAGGTAAAGGCTTGAGACAAAGCCCTTCTCAGGATTTCCCATCACAGCCTACAGCTCCCTGGGGAGGGAATCCCTGTAGGGGCCTACGCTCTGCTTACGAGGTGAGGGCCCACTCTGCACAGTGCGGGAGAGCATTCTCCATCTTTGTGTATTTCTTATGCTGTCCATGAAAGGCCATGGTCAAGTGAGGGAAAGCTTCTGCTTGTTTGGGGTGCTGCCAGCTTCAAAGCTCATGAACTTGGGGACACCACAGCATCTTACACCAAGTCTGTGAACCATTGCATGGGGCCCTTGGGAGTCAGACACTCCTACCCACTTCAAAGACAGGGAGTTGAGCACAAGGCCAGGAGCGGGGCATCTAGATATAAATCCAGCATTGCTTTGCCCTCTTTTCCCTATGAGGATACCACATTGCCTTTCCTGGGGGGCGGGGCACAGCCTATTTTCAACATAGCAGCTCTGGGGTCCCCACAGAACCCCCCAAAGCAGCTCTTCCATTAGTGCAAGGCCTCCATCCCTGGCTAGGTCTGAACCACTGAGCTAGTCCCAGAAGCCAGGCTCGGCTGTCCTGGTAACACCAGGCACCCCCAGCACTTCCATCCCCAGACTCCTTGATCATGGGACTTGGCTTGCAGGCAGGTTAAACTCTGCCGGCCCCGGCAGCTTTGCTGGAACTTAAGCACTAATCCTGGTCCAGTGCTGGGTTTTAATAAGCTTGTTCTCAGAGAGGCAATCAGACTGTAGGAAACACGTGCACGATGGCATCAGCTTCCCGTGGAAGGAGGAAGCAGCAGGGACTCTCAAGTGGTGTGGGAAACGGGTATGGGTCTCTCTCTTCTACGAACCTCCTGATCTTTTCTCCACCATCTCAGGAGGCAGCAGGCACATGCATGCAGATGATGGAACCAGGACCCTAGAGATGTCTGGACAGTCCTCCTGTCCAGTCTGCATCACCAGCACCCAAGCTGCCCTCACCCTCAGTCCTTCCTTTGTCCTCTGATCCTGCTGCCCACCCCCTACCCCAGCCACTTGCACCTCTTTTCTGGTCTTGATAGCCAATCTTTCAACAACACAAATCCATCACCTCCTACACCTGCCCCTCAAACCTCCCTTTACAGTGGAGGGTGGAAAAAGAAATCCTAAATCTGGTTCCCACCCGCTCTACTCAATGTCCTGACCACATTACTGGGCTGGGCTTCAGTCCTCTGGGTCAGAGAAACCCAGAGTGGGTTCCTCGGGATAAAAGGGACCACCAGAGCTGTTTGAAGGGTCCCCTGTATCCTATTCAAGGAGAGAGAAAGCAGAAGTCAGAGAACTTTAAAGATTTGCTCTGTCTTCTTAAAAGTCCGGTTGGCCATTTCTTACAGCTCTCCTGCTGGACACAGCAATGCTGGCAGGCCCCCGTGGATCCTTGGGTGTGGGATCTCCAAAGAAATTTAGTTTTCATACATAGTGATAGCATGGAATACAAACCAAGCCAACCACCTGTGTTCGTTATGTCTACCTAATACTATGTAAAGGGCTCGTGGGTTGCTGGGCTATAAGAATAGCAATGAAAAAGCCTGTTCATGTTCGGTACAGGCCTCTTTTGGTTTCAGATTATATTTTGCCTGAGCTTGGTTATATCTGTGGGCACAGAACCTGCATAAATGGGGGAGGCCTGTAATTGGTGCTGAGGGGTGGGGGGTTCCGATGCTCCCTCTCCCACTGTACCCTCCCCAGCTGGTTCTAAATACAGAGCCTCTGGGGGAGGCAGCCAGAGGACCGCAGCTGTCATTGTGTGGAGAGCCTGAGGTCTGCACTGGACTCCCTTACCTTGCACCATGTCAGTGCATGCCACAGACCTCTATTTCACTCTTCCTGACAAGACTTCCCAGCCCCTTCTGGTGCACCCCCTTTATGAAGGCTCAATGCCATTTCCCGAAGGAACCCCAACCGCCTATTCCTGGAACCTTGCACCACTCCCCCAGTCTGAGCAACCTTAGGTTGGCTGGTCACTTGGGAGAGAAGCTGAGATGCTGCTCTGATGGGAAACTCCTTTCTGACGGTGAGAGTTCTGGGCTGGGGTTCACCCTGAGCTTAAAGGCCAGGCTGTCAGAAGGTCTGTCATGAGGAAACCCTATGGTAAAGGATCCCCGCTTCTTCTGCAAGGGATAGATGTCTTGGTGACTTGCAGAGTTTTCCTCCAAGGAAGAGGCTGGCAGCATGTGCAAACTCAACTGCTTAGCAAGGTCTTGGAGGACTCCCTAAGTCTGTGACTAGATATTTCCACAAAATAGCAAGTAACAGAAGGTAGCGAGAGAGCTGGAGGGTCTTCGTTAGACTGTAGTATTTAATTGGATGCACCTCCCCCCCCCCCAATTTCTGTGGCCCAGCAGTTGAGTGTGTATCTGAGAAGGAGTTAGTGGCCTGCAGTGGGTCTGACTATCATCTGAGATACCACGCCTTCTTGGAAGATTAAAAATCACAGGCTCTGGCTCGGGAGATGACTCAGTCAGTCCATAAAGTGCTTGAAGACTAGAATCTTCAAACATGAAGACTAGAGTCTGACCCACAGAACCCAGGAAAAAGCCAGGAGTGATGCCCCGCACTATAATTCTAGTGCCGGGGAGGGGTGTCAGGAACGTCTCTGGGGCTTTCTGGGCAGCCAGGCTAGACTACTTGGTGAGTTCTAGGCCAGTGAGAGACACTGTCTCAAAAAACAAAACAAAACAAAACAAAACAAAACAAAACAAAACAAAAAACAAAGTGAATGGTGCCTGAGGAATGACAGTCAAGGTTGGCCTCTGGGCTCCTTACATCTCTACACCAGCCCCTACTCTTCACACACAATAAATAAAAATCAAAGCCTCCGTTTTCTATAAGGGACCTGGGCCCCGCATGATCTGGACGCCCTGGCCCACCTGACTTCTTCATCTCCTGTTTTCACCCCAGAGGCAATGGTGGGCATACCTGCTGGTCCAGGAAAGTCCCTGGCCCTGGTCCAGGCCCCAGTTGCACCTGTAGGTGTGAAGGTAATGATGGCTCCCTGGGCTCGTGGCTGGGATCCCCAGCCGGCAGCCTGTGTCACGGTCACAGTCCCAGCTACTTCTTCAGCAGCAGCGGGCAGTTTGGATTAATCATTACCAGGTCATTGACATCCCTGGGAGCCACCCCTGGCAAGGACCCAGGCTGCTGTTCCCAGGCGGCAAAGGCCAGCAGATGACTGGCTGGTGAGTGGTAATCTGAGCAGGGTGTGAGGGACAAGATTATTAGGGTCATACATTTTTATTAAAGGCCACTAACAGATTTACAGGGAGCGCTGTAAAATGACACTTGTTTTTATTAGCGCAAATCCTCCCACTTGACAGAAGTCCCTGGGCTGAAGCAGAATTCCTAGGCTTCCTTGGACAAACAGAACAGCCTTTGACTACAGTTTTTATAACCCAGGGATCCACACCTGGACCCTCAGGCTTCTTCTCAGGGGCTCTGAGACCCCAGATGTCTGAACACCGGGGCTCAGACACCTGCTGCTGGATGACCTCAGAGTCCCTTCTCTTCCAATAGCCTCAATTTTCTTCTCTGAAAGCCAGTGTGTAATGGCTTTCCTGATGACCCTGTGAGAGTCCAAATGTGAGTGGGGATAGAAGAATGTGGAGCACAAGGGGCTTCTCTGCCAATTCTGTCACCGGGCTTCTCTTTCTCCAAGGATGTGTCAGCGATGGGACAGCTCTGGTTAGCCACATGGGAAAGGGTTAGCCTGAGCTCGGGTATCTCTAGGACTTTCTAATGTTACCAGATGGAGTGCAGCTTGGTTGGCTGAGGGGTCTTCAGGGAGCCTCACAAGAACATTTAATCTCAATGTTCCAGGAAGGAATAGAGGGGAAGGGTGGGAAGAAATAGGACCTTCGCAGGTGAGAAAGAACATATAAAACTGAGGGTGTCTGATAGAGCTCAGGCATTTTTTTCCTGTTATCTTTCTTTCTTCTTCTTCTTCTAGAAGTCCTATCATAGGAGAAGGGGTTCTATACAAAGAGCCAATCTTAGCAGCCCAGATTTAAATCCCCTCAGAGGTATCTTTCCCTCCTCATAAGACCTTAGATGGGCCACACAGCTCCAAGTTTGGGCGGTACTAAGGAAATAATAAGGCCAAGGGCCTCTTGGTCACATTCTGGTGCGGGGTGACCTTCCACAATCTGCTTGCCCTCCTTTGGAGACTCTTTCCTCTGACTGTTTAGCCTTGAGAATCGTCTAAAGCCCAGGAGAAGAGCATGAACCAGAAAGAGTGGGGCTGAAAAACACAGCAGAGAAAAGTGGGTCACCTATTTTGGTCCCAGATCAAGCCTGACCTGAAGCTTATGGTTTGTTTCAATATGTTGGCTCATAAGTTATTCTTAAGATTGCTACTTCCATTATTTGACTAGATTTTTATTATTTATTAAACTTTAACTAGCTTATAAGATTATAATGATATATATATTAATTGTCTAATATGATAAAACACACAGCCATACATGAGTATTTTTTTTTAAATTGAAAATAGAAAATATTATATTTTTTTCTTAAATTTTTATCAGGAAAATTTCAGCCCTATAGGTTTCCAAGAAGGGTTCAATGAATGCTCAAAAACTATACATTTGTCAGCTGCAGTCATTGGTTGCTTTTCCCTCTCCCTCTCCCTTCTCATTCCCTTTTCTCCCTTCCCCTCCCTTCTCCTTCCTTTCCTTTGCTACCTCCTCTTGGGTCACCTGAGACATTAGTCCACTTACACTGGTCTACATGGACATACGAACCAACACAGCCTCCCGCCAGCCACAAGCCACTGTATCAACCTGGAAGTCCACCCCTGACACCTGCCCCAACTCAGCCTTCACCACCTCCTTTCTCCCTAGGATCACATGCTGTGCTGGGTATCCTGACCCATAATCCACTCAGCTAGAGTGATTCTCCAGGCTTCTCACAGTATTGATATTTGAGGAAGGCCCTTCCTCTAGGTTTTCCTAACTGTTTTCTCATATGCGCATTCTTCTGAAACAGTTGGAGTTATGGAAAACAAGGTTTAGCTGCTGCAAACTTTGATGGAACTGTCATAAATACACATGAGGTTGATGAGGTTGACCAGACTTGCCCCTGGCCTACTGTCTCTCAGATCAGTTCAGCTCAGTTCAGGAGTCAGGCCACCAGGACACTTCTGGATCTGATTGACACTAAGAGGCCTTGGTGACTGTTGCCTCCTGCTGCCTTTACTTCTCTCCTGGTGCACGCCCAGTGGCCACGCTTTTATACATGCTGAACTAGCGGCTACACAGCCTTCCCTTGCTGCTTCTTAGTGGAGTTCTGTTCATGATTCAGGCTTTAGCACAGGCGTCACTTCCTCCAAGAGGCCGTCCCCAAAGCCTAAAGTCACCTCTAACCCAGCTGCAGAGACTGGCCCTTTGTGATCGAACCATAACATGCAACTATATTTGAAATTTCGGTGGTTTCTGTCTGCCCCTGTCTTCTACCTGCTTTAGGAGAGCAGAGGTTTAGGTGGTGCCCTTAGCAGAGGGTCTTCCATGTTCTGAGTTCAGTGAAGGAGAGAGGTGGAGGAGAGCGGAGAGAAGGGAGAGAAATCAGAGGGAAGCAGCCGCCCCCCCCCCCCCCGTGGGGTGGGAACTTGCCAAATGTAGCTCCTCTAATCTTGCTTCTGTATCTTTTCTGGGTTTGGGTCACGTCCACACTCCCACTGAGGGATTTGGGTACCACTTACCCCGAGGGACGCATGGCTGTCCCAGTGGGGGCTTCAACTCTTCCATGAGCAACACCATGACAAATGGCTGGTGTGAGATACTAGTTCACAAACAAACAAACAAACAAAAAACCAAAGCCACAAACAAACAAACAAACCTGTATCCCTCGCTCATCCATAACATGCAAAGTTAAAAATAAAAAAGACCCCTGTGCAGTGGATTACGAGGTAAGTGACAGAACCCTAAACCCTCCTGGTGGCGATGGAACTGGCAGCCTGTGGGCACCTTCTAGCCCTAGTTGGAACAGTGAGACTACTGATGTGCTGAGGGTATATACGAAGACATCTCCAGTGAAGAGTTGCCCCCCCCCAACTCTTTCTAGAAAGATATTCAAAGGGAAAGAAAACCAAGTATGAAGGTCACGCACAGAGACCACTCTCATCAGTGTCACTCATAAACTCAACAGAACGAAAACCCACCTAGGTCCAAAATAAAAGCTGGTTAAATAAATTACGTACAAAGTGACTCTGACCTTTGGCCCTATAACCTGACTCGTGGTGTTTGAGGGCCTGAGTCCAGAACTCTGACCCCACCAAAGGCTGGTAAGGAGGTGGGGTGACGGCAACTCTGATCCCCTGCTGGTGGAAAGACACTGCCCTGGAACCACAGTGGGGCAGTTTTCCTACAGAATTAAACATCCATGCACAAGGGAACAGAGGACTTACGTTCACACAAACCTTAGTTTGTGAGTATTTCTAGATACTCTGGCCCTAATGGCCAGAATCTTGAAGCCATTGAGACCCCTTTCAGCAGACAAGGGGACACTGTGGTGTATGTAGGACAACGGAATATTATTCCATACTGGAAAAGGGTAAGCTATCAAGCCAAGCCATGAGGAGACACAGAAGAGCCTTAAATACTTGTTAGTAAGCGAAAGAAGCAAGCCTAAGGAGGCCGTATTCTGCATGATTCCAGCTGTAAGACATTCTGGAAATGGTAAAGCTATGGCAGCAGAAAGAAGATCCATGGTTGCCAGGGGCTTGGAAGAAGGGATGACGGGCGGAGTGTGAGACTTTCAAGGCAGTGATGTTCTGTTCACTACTATGGTGGCAGAGATCATGACACAGCCAACCAGACTGTGCAATGCGAGGGGTGAGCCTTGACTTAGCACATGTGGGTGACAGTGACCGGTCATGTGCCTTCAGCCATGGTGACAGTGACCGGTCATATGCCTTCAGCCATGGTGACAAATGTGCTACTCTGGCAGGTGACGTTGAAGGTAGAGAATATGGGTGGTAGGCAGAGCCTATGCGTGGCCACAGTCTGTGCCTTCCCCTCAGCTTTAGAGAACTTGAAACTGCTCTAAAAACGATGAGACAGGAGCCAGCAATATGGCTCAGTGGGTAAAGGTGCTTGCTGCCAGGCTTGATGACCTGAACCCTGGAATCCACATAGTGAAAAGAGGAAACAGACATGCACAAATTGTCATTTGGCTTCCAAACTGTCTTCCATGCCATGGCACACACACAAACAGGCACACATACACACGCTACGTGAATAAATGTAAAAAAAAATTATTTCAGATGACAACACTTAAAGGGTTATCAACGGATACCTATTGGTGGGGAAATATGCATGATGTGAAGAAAGACTGTGTTGAACATGACCCCTTTTTATCAAAATGGTGATGATCAAGAATTACAACAAAGCCACTGATGGCCCGGCACTACCCCAAGACTCAGTAGTCAGCTTCCTTCTCCCACATTCCTCCGTGGCAGATGCTAACAGTTCATCCAGATGAGGAAACTGAGGCACTCAGAGGTTAGAAAACAGACCAGCATCTCAGAAAGACAAAAGCGAAACAAAACAAAATGAAAAGCTAAGCCAAGTGTGTATAGCCCTATGTGTGCCCATCATTGCTGCCAGCCAGAGGTTCCGAGGTGCCAACAGGATCTCAGAACATGGAACAGCACTTGGGAGCTTAAATGGTTTAAATTACAATGGACCCTTCACATTCATACATCCTGCATCTGTGGATTCTACCAAGTATAGATGGAAAGTATCTGAGGGGAAAACCTCTCACTTTCACAGGCTGTATAGATGTTTTTGTCACCATTTTTTTTTTTTTTTTTTTTTTTTGTCAGTGCAGTGTACCGATTGAAGACCCAGTATGGACAAGGCATTAGGTGGGTGTCATAAGTCACCCAAGGCTAAATATGTGTTCGGGTCCCAGGTCAAGTCCACACTGTTTCAGATAAGGGATTTGTATATTTGTGGGTTGTGGAAAACCAATCCTTCATGATGCCAAGTGAAGGGCAGATAAGAGAGGGGTGACATGAAGA